CTCAGATTTGCAATAAAAACAACTATTTTTGAAGACTGATGTATATGATCAGTTTAATACCATTGAGGTTTGTCACTAAGATTGATGAGATGAGACTTGTAAGGAATTTGCTTCTCTTCCAGAGTCAAGAGAGCTCTCTGGCTAAATGGGCCTAAAACAACAAAAGGACGCAAACTTTAACACAAGCATGCAAGTTCCCATCAAAATCCAGATCCAAAATCACAACCAAATGACACCCCAAAAAAATAAAAAGCAAAGAGAACTTACAGTCTCCAAGAATATCAGGGGCACCGACAGCAGCTTTAACAGCGATCTCTAGAACCATTTTTTGAGGGAGAGATTGCAGTGAAAGGTTTATGAGGCAGAGAGGGGGGGGTGCAGGAGGCGGTGAGTGACCGGTGGTGTGTTGGTGTCTGTGGTTTTGATGGATGTCAGGCCAGGGTTAACAGAACAGGACCAGTGAGACATGGGCATATGTCATGTTTGTGGGGCTGAGGATAATGTTGTCATATTCTGGTTTGGGAAGACGTGTTCAATGTGAGTTTTTAACAAAAAGAGTGTCTTTTGATCCAGAATTTTCTTGCCTTTTTGCCACTCATTAATCCTCCTTAATCTGAAAGTTAAATTTCTTTTCTAGCCTTCAGATTTCTTATGTGAGTTTTTCCTTCTCCAGTCCCCTTTTCAATCTTGAATTCAAAATGATAGATACCCATGCCTGCTTGTTCTTATATTTTACATGTATTTTTAAAAAACATATAAATTTTTTAATTTAAATTAATATTTTTAGATTATTTAGATATATTAGTATCAAAAATAATTTTTAAAAAATAAAAAAATATTATTTTAATATATTTCTAAATAAAAAACACAAAAACAATTATAACAGCATATTAACACCCCATGACTAAGTCAATAACTGAGTTAACATGCGTACCCATTGACCTGGGTAGAACCAGGTAAAAAAACAGTAATTTTAAGCTAGTTAGGTTTTGCACATTTTTATTGTCAAGTTATTTTTAATTTGTGTATTTAAAAATATTTTTTATTTGAGAATATATTAAAATAATATTTTTTATATTTTTTTAAAATTATTTTTAATAATTATACATCCAAATAATCTAAAACATACAAAAATTATTTTGAAAAAACTTTAAAAATAAAAAATAAACAGTGCTGGCTGGCAATTAGGAAGCAGCTGTAAAGACAGCTCACCGAAATGAATATGGCAGTCTTCCCGGACATGTTCTTGGTGGTGTCAAGATTCTTTTATTGATCACAGGACAAGACACGTGGCATCAATCTCGTCAGGTGAATTGGAGGTTTTTAGCGTGAAGTTGATAACGAATCATGTTTAAAATATATTAAATTGATTTTTCTTTTTCATATTTTCAATCAGACATCTGACTATATTATGTCTCCTTTCTGGTTAGTTCTTGATTTTTGGTCCTTGGAGATTATGTTGTTTCGGTTTTGTACCGGTTTTATATTTTGAGATTTGTTTAGAATTGTATGCTCTCACATGTATGAAATGATAAAAAATGTCTCGCATTAAATAAAACATTAATTTTATAAATTATAATTTAAGGCTGTTCTTAAAATAAAAATTAAAACAAACAACGTCAAAGATCACATAACCTTTTTTTCATGTGGATGGTTGAAGTAATTTTTGGTATTGCATTTTAGAATTTTTTTTAAAATTTAAAAAAATTATTTTTTAAATTAATATATTTTATATATTTTTATATCATTTTGATGTGTTAATGTTAAAAATATATTTTAAAAAATGATGTGTTTATGTTAAAAATATATTTTAAAAAATAAAAAATATATATTATTTTAATATGTTTTACAAAGAAAAATACTTTAAAAATCACTTACTAATATATTCTTAAACATTTTATTAAAAGGCATGAACAAACTTCATCTTGATTATTTAATTTTTTATTTTTTATTGTTTTATGCATATTTGATCGGTCTTAAACTTGATATTTTAACGTTTTGGTCCTTGAATGTTGGTAGAGAATATAAAAGATCACTGAAAAAATAAAAGGGAGAGAGGAGGAGTTTGTTCAGCCAGGTTCCAATCATATAAGTTTCAATCCCAGTATTAACAGGTTCCCTGTAGAAAAGTTCAGTAAATGTAATTATTTTCTTCAAATATGCTAAAAATACAAACATAGATCAAACCTGTGATTTTTTATTTATTGAAACTATGACAAGTTTTATTTAAAAGACTTTGATGGTATAGAAAAAGACATGTTTTCTTTCAAGTAAATTTTACATTAATAAAAAAAATTAAATTCAGATTGAAAAATGTATCTTTACGGGAATATAAATTGTTAGAATTACTGTGAATATTTATATAAATTTCCAAATAATTATATAAAAACAGGTTTCAAACATGACCCAATAATACCTTACTTTTTTATTTTCGAGTTAATTATATTTTTTAATATATTTTTAACTAATATCTTTTCTTTATTTTTTTAATTTAACTATTTTTTAAGTTGTGATAAATCCTTTTATTTTGATGATTTTTATAATTTTATAGTATCTCAAAGAAGATATTGTAACTATAAGAACAATAATTATATGTACCCAACAACTATATTGAAATCTCCAAGTCAAATAAAAGAAAATGAAAAAAAATGAGGTAAAGTATTTGTATTTGCATCAATTTTTTATTTTTTATAAAAAATAACTTTTTATTTAGTTTTTAACTAGCATGCATGATTTTTATTTATCTGTCAAATAATATTTTTTTTAACTCACTGTATTAAACGCAAAGCATCATATTTCCAATCGTTTGTCTAGCAAATTTTACGATATAAAAAAAGCACCAATAATATTAGTTTCTTCTTCCCTTCGTTTAAAATAATTTTAATATACTGGTTTTTTTTAAAAAAATAAAAATATTATTTTAATATATTTCTAAATAAAAAATATTTTAAAAATTATATAACACGAATACAGGGACCCACAGGGAAAATTTGGAACATTGTTGTCCATTTTCGGCCACGTATTCCTTCCTCCCAGAGGACGTCAAAAAGCAAACAATGAGAGTGATGGGGCTTTCGCGACGCTCACTCTTTTTTATCACAGTGGGAATATCTCGTTCCACTCAAAGGGTCGGCCATAGCATCTACTTTTTTGATTTTTTTTCGCTTATTGTTGTGCCTGTCTCTTTCATTCATTTTTTTATCACGTATTTTTTATTTTATTAAAAATTTATTTGGTAATATAATTATGGTTGTTTTTAAATAATTTTTTATATTAAAATATATATTAATAATAATTTTTATTTTTTATATCAATATATTAAAATAATTTTAAAATAATAAAAATATATTATTTTAAAATAAATAAAAAAATAAATAAAATTTAAAATTTTTCAAAATTTTTTTTAAAAATATTCTCCTCGAATAATCTTTTCTCCGCAAGTTGCAAATCCATTCATTTAATGATAATGATCGGCAAGGATTTCAACTACAGATTGTTATTTTTAGAGTTTTTTTTGCCAGCTCAGTTTCCCTTCACGAGAAAAAGGAAGCTACCATGATAAGAGGGCCACTTTTCACCTTTTTAAGGGCCCGGAAATTTCTTACGGTGGAGATATCAATGAGCCACCCACAAGGGCTGTGCTTTGCTTTTGTAAGAAAAAAAAAAAAAAACCTTTCACTGAGTGACATAAAAAAAATCAGGCATGAGTTCACCCGGTTAAATTTAGATTTTTCCATCAGAATATAATTTAATTAAAATTTTTTTTAAAAAAACTTTAAAATATTTTTAAAGTTTTTATATTTCAAATTAATATTTTTATATTATTTTAATATATTAATATTATAAATAATTTTTTTTAAAATAATTTCTTTAATATATTTTTAAATAAAAATACTTTAAAAAATAACACTCATTACATTCTAGAAGCATGAGCTTGAAGGCTTGAACTGAGTGTGACATTGCTGCTAAGTAGACAGTGGGTTAAGTTTCAGAAACCACCCAAATTCAAGGGCTGGGCCCTGGTTTGAACGATGGACTCAGAACTTGAAAGCCCACTTGCTTCCAGGTCCAACTAGAAGCCACGTAATCAACCACAACTTGGCGCCCTCGTGGCTCAGGCAACGGAAACAAGAATAAGGAGATGCCCTGATCTTGTCTCACTCCCAGTTCACATGCAAACCACTTGCGGATGTTTTGCCGCGTTTTCCGTTGACCACAATAAATACTCCTATTTGTCGATGTTTCTCACTATTTCCACATCCAATCTTTCTAAATCCAATACTAGCTATAATATAATTTTGCATGTGTTTTTTCTGGCACGGTATTGCAAAAAACAACTCGGGTAAAATCAATGCTGTTTCAAACATTTATATTTTCCGAAAAGAATGGACTATGATTTAAAGCAGAAGTATTATCTAAACGTCATCAATAACTTTTATTTTTGTTGAATTTAGCTTGTTTCGTAGTGTGATTATAATTATTTTTTGAAATATTTTTTATTTAGAAAAATATATTTATAATTTTTTTATTTTTTAAAAAATTATTTTTGAGATTAACAGGTTAAAATAATTTAAAAATATAAAAAATATATTAATTTAAAATAAAAAAATTTAAATTTTTTTAAAATACAGTGCCAACAAAACAATTAGCTTGAAATGTTATCAATCACAACTTGGCGCCCTCATGGCTCATGCAACGGAAACAATAATAAGAAGATACCCTGATCTTGTCTCATCAAGTGCAGTATATCTGTAAGAAGCAAAAACAAGAGTGAGAGTAGCTATCTGCTTTCTCATTCTGGCGCGAGGTTCGCGAACACGTTGTTTAAAACGCGCGCGTAAATCCACACAGAGACGAAAAACCGAACCCACTTATTTCTTTCGATGATGCTTCTTTAAAATAATTAAATATTAAATAGAAAAATCAAAAAATTAATAAGTAGATCCTGTCTCAATCATTTCTAATTTTCTATTAATTAACTTCATCATCTCTCTCCTTTTTTGATTTCTTAACGTCTCTCCACCCACATTTATTTAATTTAATTACTGTAATCTTATCATTTGCATCTCTGATGATCTAATTTACATATAAAAAATATTTGCTACTTTTATTTTTGCCGACCAATTGTGATTCTTCTGCATGAATTCCATTGCTGTTGACCTAAACTTTTCTCTCTTTCTGTATTAAAACTGTCTGACTCCAAACTTTTATCTAGCATGGCGGCGTGTCGTTTCTTGCTTGATTTCTAATCAAGATTATCATTGAGCGTGACTTAAAGATTTTGTTTTTCTTTTAAAAGAAGAGATTTTGATTGAATTCATCGCATGTTAAGGAGAAATGAATCGAATGATATCCAAGATTGGCATCAAGATTCAAAGATCTCTTCAAAAAGGTCATTTCCCCCCTCTTTTTTGTTTAATCAAATTCTGGGTTTTTGTTCTTGTGTTGTTTATGGGGTGTTTGTAATGATTTTGATTTTTTTCGTGTACTTTTGCTAAACTTATTGATTTTGTTTCTAGTGGAATTTAATAGTGATGTCTGTGGAAGTGGCATCAAGATCATTTGGTTTTTGTTTTGTTCTTATATATGCTTTGAGATCAATGGTTTTTCCTTATCACATCTTCTTATTATGGCAGTTTGTTAATTCATAGGTTTATTTTTTTGTTTTACTTTTGAAAGCTGTGACCAAGTCGTAATGATGACGGTATGTTACATTTACTCAACCACTTTACACTTGTTTCTATGCTGTTCTAATAATTGCTTGCCAAATAAAACTGTTTTTAATGATTCTGTTTCTGCATGCTGATTGCCTGTGCTGCCACTTACTAGTATCTTGTATTGATTGAGATTTAGTACTTGGGTTTCTAGAGACTCCTTTTCGGCTTCATGAACTGATCACAAAAGGCTGTGATTTGGATTCACTGACTGTTTTTCAGAAGAAAAAAAATCCTTTCTTTATTTCTTAATGTTTTTTTTTCTTTCTTTCTTCCTTACGGGGATGGTACATAAGGTCTAAAGGTTATGATGTTTCCAGTATAGGGCTTTTTTCAAAAGTTAAATGCAATTTTTTGATTTTTTGTTTACTGGTCTCCCGCAACTGTGTTTAGGGTTAGCTTTCATTTTTACGCTCTGTTTCCCTATCTTTTTGGTTGTTTGTGATTCTTCTTTCCTTGTTTGCTTTCTCTTCTATCGTTTTGCATTTCATTTTCCAAATATATTCTCTTTGCATATTTGATATATTTTTATAAACTCATTTCCAGGAAGCAATAAGGGTTTGAATTACTGGAAATGGTCTGAATTTGGCATCTTATATTAGTTTTTGCTCTAGGAGTTACTCTAGAGTAAGTAGCTATTGCTGTTTTGATTTTGTGCAGAATTGTTCTTTAACTTTGCACACCCAGAATACAACAACATGAAAATTAGTGGAAAGAAAATAAATCATGAAATAGTTGTCCTGGTATTTGAATAATTTTATTTCACCTGATCTGGTATTTCTCTTTGATTTGATTTGGTGCAGGGGCGTTGTTTTAAATTCTAGAGGGCTTGAATTTGCAGTGTTAACTTTAAGTGCCCAAAGTGAGGTCAATGGAAATGAAACCTAAACAAATCACAGAAAGTGTGATTGCAAAATTAATGGGTCTTGATGAACTGCCACCCCAGCAGCCTGTTCAAAAGAAACCAAGAGTGCTCTCTGAGAATTATCTACGGAGAGTTTCTTCTATAGGTGTTAGAGAGAAAAATTCAGAACCTAACTCATGTAGGTTGAGTAGTGAAGAGCAGCAAGATCATATCGAAGTCTTCCAAATATTAGAAACATTAAAGAGACACAAGCACCGGAGCATGTCAGCTGAAAAGAGAAAAATACGTTCAAGTTCCCCAGGGGCAAAGGTGATGTTTAGACGGGAGGAATTCAAGCAATCAACAGATGTTTCAGAGGATATGAAGCTTCAAAGTTCAAAGGAATGTCATGATGCAAAGGAAGTTATTGATTCAAAGACTGATAATTTTCCAAAATATTTCCAGGAACCAGTGCTCACCAAGAAAGCAAATAATCTGCAAGGCATCCCTCATTACTTGCAGCCAGGGCTCATTACATTTGTAAGGCCGTTGTGTCCTTCTGACCGCAGAGATATTGGGAGGAGCAGGAAATTTTGGAGGCCAACTGAACAAGGATATCCAAGGAAAATTGAAGATGGCCTTGGGACATATTCCTGCAGAAAACTTGGCCTTGACGTTGCTAATGAGTTTCTTGGATCACAATTGGATTTGAATGATGGGTCATGCCTCCCCACTACCAGGATTGTTGTTCTGAAACCAAAACCAGGAAAGGCACAAAATGCTGGAAGATATTTTTCATCTACCGGTGCAATCGAGGTTTTTCATTCAATTGATAGGAATCATGAAGAGATTCTCAACGTTCAAAATGAAAACTTGTATGCTGAAGTGAAAGAAAGGAAGAAGATGGACTGTGACTCAGGACCTGCAAGGTCGAGGTCTAGGTTTTCAAAGCAAATAAGCAGAAGAATGGGTCATGGTATAAACAGCACTTCTACTAAGGCACAGGCGTCTGAAATCAGGGGTAGTGACACCTTGCCTAAAGAGTCTGAGTTGATGATACCTTCCTTGCCCGTTTTGTCTGATAGGAAGAACCAATATCACTGTTCAGATGAGCCATATCTGGCCAGGGAAGCCAAGAAACAAATCTCTGAAAGATGGAAGACGACCAAAAAGTTTCAGCAGGTTGAACTATTTAGTAGGTGTAAAACCTTGGGCGAAATGCTTGCCATTCCTGATTGTGAAGCAAGGCCAAAAAATTTTGCTTCCAATCCTGATAACTATGATCAAGTCGTTCCTGACAGTGGAGGTGTGACTCCTTTAGGCACAAGAAGCCTGGAATTTCGGGATGGTGGCCATGTCAGAGACTTACCAAAATCCAGATCTCTTCTAGTGAATTTTAATACAGTTGCAAGTCCTAAAACCATGACAAGACATAAATCTCTTCGAAAGTCCAGCTGTATGATTTCTCCATCAACTCCTCATCTGGTGTCAGAAAACAGTCATTCTGCAGACGCTGTTTATGCTCTTCAAAATGAACTGGAAAACAAAATTGAGGTGAGAAATTCTCATGGCCAAAGTTCCTCATTTCTCGGTTCATCTGGACAAAACTATCAGACCTTGCAAGATCCTTGGGTGACACAGGGGGGGCACAAGAATGAAGGCAGTGATGGGGATCTATCTGAAAAGAATTATGAAGCTTGCAAATCTTCAATGAGCAATATTTCTTCAACTAACGTGGTAGTTAATTCACCGGCTGATGCAGAAATTGCAGCTCCAAAGAGGTCCCTGTCATATCATGAGTTGCTTGAATTGGAACCTAACAATTGTGTCTCGCTAGTAAAAGATGAATATTCTTCTCGAGACCCACCTACTTCAACTCAACAGGTATGATTCATTGTTTTCCGTGACACCTTGAAATTTCATTAGCCAAATTTTGCAGATTCTTAAATGTAATTTAGCTGCCAAATTTATCTGGAAACATAACTATCTGCATCTTTCCTTTTTGCTGTGCAAATTTGAATGGAAAATTGATAGCAACAAGTTCTACATCTTCAGAAATAATATCCACTACTCAACACCTCAGTTGTATGTTATGATGCATGTAACTGATACTAGCATTCATTGTTCGTATTTAAGAAAAGATTTCTAGGAAAAGTGTTTGTTTGTTCGTTCCTGAACTTAGAAAAGTGTCATTCTCATCGAGCTAGTGAAACCTAGTTGGAGTATAGACTCTGAAAACCACATTAATTCATCATTTGTTCTGTTACATTAACATGTTGGGGGAAGTGGTTGCATATTCCTGACAACTGGGGTATAAGTTTCCTGGCCTCTTATGATTGTTATCCTGTTGGGACGTTTCTAGTTTTTAATGAATTATTTACTTTGTCGAAATTCTGAAACTTTTGTATTTGTTATGGTTTTATTTTCCATGTGTTTTATCTCTTTTCTCCTATGTTGCTTACAATGCTGTGCAGGAAGAAATGAGGATATGCAATCGATAACCAAAATGATTTTAACCAGGATGCAATAAAGACATCGTTTCCAGATTTTATTAGGCATACACTTAAATGAAGCTCACCTATGATTTTAACAGATGCATATATGAATATTTTAGTCATCCTTAATAGTTTATTTTATTCACTTGATTTATTACCTTTTTCTTTCTTTTTGATAATGGTTACTATAAAATTTTGAAGGCTCTTTCTTATTAGGAATTATATAATAATGCTGCAGGATATATCCAACCGAATCTCTGAGATAGAGTCTGTTTCTTCACACTGCTCCGGCACCGATGGAGACCCGGAATCTTTGATGAGCATTGAGGATGCTTATCAACCTAGTCCAGATTCTGTATTGGAACCATTATTCAAGAAAGAGATTTCATCTACCTCTGACTGTTTTGAGAGCGTCCATGCTTCTTTAAATGGTCGGTGCACTGGATCTGCTTCTTTAGAGTCGCACAGATTCTCTTTCTTTTAAGTTTTTGTCCTTATCTCTTTCCTTGTCTTTTGATCTACCCATGGTTCCTAGGTTTACAGTCGCATCTTGAACTTATGAAGTCAGAGGCATCAGAAACATACTCAGAAGGATCTGGCATGATGGTTTCTAGCGATGAAGATTCTGGGGAAGGAGGATCACTGGATGACTCTGATGAAAATGAAAAGACGAGATTTTTCAGAGCTGAAGAGAGTAGGGATTTCTCCTACCTGGTTAATGTATTGTCCGAGGCAGGTTTTGACAGTAGGAACCTGAAAATGGGCTTTGACTCGTGGCGCTCTCAAGGATACCCAATGAGTCCTCTTGTCTTTGAGACCCTTGAGAAAATGTTTGGTGAGCAGACATCTTGGAAGAGGTTTGAAAGGAGGCTCCTGTTCGATCGTATAAATTCAGGGCTGATTGAGATTCTACAGCCATCCATGGGTTTGCCGACATGGACAAAACCTGTAGCAAGAAGGTTTAGTTTTAGTCTGGGCCAGGAGATGATTGAGGAGGAGTTATGGATGTCGCTGGTTGCTGAGGAAAAGGAAGCTAGCAAGGAGTCTGGAAAGGTGCTGGGGAAGGATGACAAGTGGTTAGAGTTGAGTGATGATGTTCAGATCATCGGTATAGAAATAGAAAATTGTTTGATGGACGAGCTGGTTGCAGATGTTGTTAGCATGGAGAGTTTCTGAAAGGCCGGGAGTATTACTATATTGTTAACAGAATTCCTCGAGAATATTTGGATAGTCTTTCAGAATTCGTCGAGAATATGTGGATAGTCTGTCTGTATTGTTAAAAATCCAAAGAAAAAAAAGAAAAAACAGTGAAGAGGTATAGGGATTAGGGAGGTAGTAGTGTCTTTGGCTTGTTCATGTTTGAACAGTAGGGGAGAGGCATATGTAGGTACAATTTTGATCTAGGTGTGAGGCTTGAAATTGGTTTTGGAGATTGCATTGAGTATTCAAGTTCTTTGTTTTTTTGCTTGAGTAAATTTTTTCTGTACCAAATTCACGAGCCAATTTTCATGATGTGTAGAATTCATTCTTCTGTGGAAGTTTTTGTTTTGTTTTTGAAGTATCAGGTTCTTTCATTCATGTGAAATGAAAAATGTGATATTGTTTTTTTTTTCTCCAGTGGTGCGTGATATACCCTTGTGAGTTAGTGTAGTAGCCTCCTCTTAAAGAACAAGTGTTGCCTTACTGTTTCTGATGATTAATTAGTCCGTTTACAGAATAATGTTTTTAATCTGATATCGGTGGTCTTCGCGTTTAGGATAATTAAAAAGAGATCTTATTTTTCATTTCGATAATCAAGTAGCCCAATTAGCATTATGGTTATCTGACTAATTCCAGGTTAAGAGATCTTCGTTGTATTAATTCAGTATACTGTATTCTATAGATGATTTATCTCTCAACCGAAACCAGGGGATATATGTTTACTGGGATACTCTAAATATTAGTCTCTTTATTGTTTACCAGCTTGCATCCCCCTTTTGATTTGAAAGGAAGAGAATGATATATTTGTTGCTTACATTTGCACCAAGAGGTTTTGAGTTTTAAAATCGGATTTTCTGAAGGCAGAAACGAGAAGAGCTCACTCTTGCATAGTTCTGATGGACTAGTAAACGAGGGGAAAATTTTACGGTGAGATAATGTATCGATTATTGATGATTAAGTAGGCAACAACTCCACTGCCAGGTCCAATAATGCATATAGAAGTTCAAGTTTCCTTCACAATCCCAACCATTCCTCATGTTCCAATTTCTACACCTGATCACACAAAGGCTTAGGTTCCTAACCTGAACTCACACAAACAGTTCAAAAAGTTCTCATCAACTCCGATTTTAGAGAGCACAAGCTATATATAAACATACATTCACATGCCCTCTGAAGCATTAGCAAAACACGGAAGAGAACTCAGTCTTCTTGAACTCTTAATTTTGTTTCTGCCCTCGAGTCTCTGAAATGGAAATTCACAAAATTCTCTCTGCCACAAAAAAGGCCATAGCCTGTGTTCTGTTCCTCACTCTCGCCATTGCATTTACCACCTCAGCTAGAATCCTCGATGAGCAACCGGAGGTACCTGTTGCCCCCCCGGAGTCATACAACGCAGTTGATAATCCTGTCACTAATGTTTCACCACTACCTACACCATTAGCACCCACACAACCTAATCCAACTGGGGCTGCAAGTACTAGTGCGGAAGCCACGATTACCAATCCAGGTCATACCTTAAGCTTCTTCATGCATGACATTATTGGTGGGACAAACCCCTCAGCTAGAGCCGTGACCGGCATAGTCAGCAATCCAGCAGTCACTGGCCAAGTCCCATTTGCCAAACCTAATGGTGCAAACCTCCCACTAAACAATGGGGTGCCCCAGAATAACAACAATAACGGCCTTATAAATAACAACAACCTGCCTTTCCTAACTGGACTTGGTGGCACCACACAACCTGTATTACAGAACAATGGCAACAACTTCAACAATGCATTTAACTTGCCACTGAGCACTGGGGGCAACCTTCCATCTGGTTCTACTCTTCAACAGCTCATGTTTGGAACCATTACTGTGATCGACGATGAAATAACTGAAGGGCATGATTTACGGTCAGGTTTTATAGGTAAGGCACAGGGATTCTATGTGGCTAGTTCTGTGGATGGTACCAGCCAAACCATGGTATTCACAGCTATGTTCCAGAGTGGTCTTTATGCTGATAGCCTTAGCTTTTTCGGGGTTCACCGAAAAGGAGTTTCCGATTCTCGGCTTGCTATCATGGGTGGCACCGGAAAGTATGTTAATGCTCGGGGTTTTGCTATTGTTAAGACAATCCCGTCTATCAATCAGCACTCGACTGATGGTGTTGAGACCTTGCTTGAATTCGCTGTTTATGTTAGTTATTAATCCAAATTGTTCGAGAAAATCAATGCTGTGTTTGTAAGCATGTTGTATGTGTGCTTGGAGATTGTGAGCTTGTAGCATGTGGGGTTTTTTGAGCAGAATGTCTGCTTTGTTTATGAATCATATCTAGAGAAAATGGAAACTCTGTTTGTTTTTTCATCAAGTTCAAACCAATTAAAGGAAACATGTGATTCATCGATATTGTGAAATGAAAGCTCAATTCTCTCACATCATATGCAGAGAAACCCTTCAGCTGGAGAAAGCATTAACTCATCAAAACTAAAAGCATGCAGTAATTAATTCACACACATTTCTATGTTCAGATATTAACCATGGATTAAAATACTGTAGAGGGGAATTGAGAATTTTCAGTCATCTATGTCACTATTTGCCTGCTTCTTCTCCCCTTTTTGGCTGTCAAAGGTAACTGTGGTTTGGCATTGTCTGATGGGCAACCCCGTACCTGCAACTTTGAGAGATACACAGACAATTTGCTTGATGACCATAGGGACCAAAGCAAACTCCCTTTGAAATTCCGTACTGTTTTGCATGTTTGCTGATAATTTCAGTCATGCTTTGGAATAACTCTAAACATTTAACACATGACATGAACCAAAATACGGAAGAGCATTCTAGTTAATCCCAGTCGAGTGTTTTGTACTCGAGCATCAAACCAAAGAAAGTAAAGTAATCAAGCACATCCATTCATTAAGGCAGTCAAAGAAGAAAGTTTTCTTTTCCAAAGGATCATGTTACTGGTTAATTTAATTATGCTGGTCGCTTCGAATCAGATTTAATTATTACACGAGATAAAAAAGACAGCCAATAAAGGTGAAATCTCATTTTATTATATAACAAATATATAATATTAACTGCCAGCCTCACCAAAGGGCATTTGGTCTAGTGGTATGATTCTCGCTTAGGGTGCGAGAGGTCCCGAGTTCAATTCTCGGAATGCCCCTGTTTCATGCCGTTTATTTTTACTTTCTGAGATTCATTTGGGCCTACGAGAGCCGGCAAACTTTAGACGGTACTGAAAAGAAAGCCCAGACAGACAGCCTCTGCACGAAACAATATTTAGCTATTTATTTTCTTTTTTCAAAACAATGGAATCATCACGATTCACGAAACAATTTGGCTTTTAAGAGATTTATATCACCTAGCAGTTTTGGATTTTTTTTATTAACGGAGTTTAACAATCTGGTGGTCCCTTTTCACGTTAATTTACAGTTATTCAAATTCATCCGTGCATGTTCCCTTTTCACGTTAATATACAGTTATTCAAATTCATCCGTGCATGTCAAATGTAATCAATTTTTTTTATAAACAAGTTTAGATTTGAAATTATTTGTATAAAAAATGTATTAGTTTACTAAAAGAGCCGGAAATTTATAATTTCTTTAGATATAGCATAAAAATAGTGATGTATTTATATTTTATTTAATCTAATGAAATTATTATTTTCTTTCTAAACAAATAAATAACAATAATAATGATGACGGGTGGAGAGAAATATCATCATTGATCCAAAAGCCGTGAAGACGGCTTTAAAAGCTAACATTTGCATTGGTTTTAATCTGTCTTTTGAGAAGCATTTGGCACAGCGGGAATGTTCGTGGCCTGATGCCTTTATTGAATAAATTAAGTTCAATTGTACTGTAAAGACCCGAGATCTTTACAATTTTGATCCTTTGAATCTATCTGAAATTCAAGAATGCCAAGTCCTGGAATTGCTCACTGCTCGAGCTGTGAATTGATGATACATTAGCTTCATCTATGATCTAACCTCACTATATTATATATAATCAAGGCTGTTGACTATAGTTTTGCTGAGACATTAGTAATTGATGAGCATTTTAAGAGTGTGTGTGTATATATATATATATATATAATACTCAACCATGTTCAATTCCTTGCTGATTTTAACGAGCACTGTTATCAATCCCAGCCTCTCTTGGTTCACCATAGCTAATAAATTTGTTCTCCAAATTCATCCAAGAATCAAGACTAAATGCTATGCAATGTAACCGCCAAAACACATTTGATTCAACAACAAAGCTGGTCTCCTTCAATATTCCAATAAATATAGTTCAAGATACATCAAACTTCAACCGAAGTTTTCAAACAGAAACCAGGCTTACAGACTAGCAAACCAACTCCAACCAAGAACACATGCACACACACACACAGACATCCTACTCTGAGAGGTAAACATTGAAATGCATTATGGTATCTACACCATCAGTTGTGTGCTGATCCCCTTGTGGAAGAGTCTCAACAGCAGCATACCCTTTTGCATTCTCATACTTACCCGTGCCACCAATTATTGCAATCGGCGAATCAGCTGTTGCTGTTCTATGTACCCCAAAGAAACTAATAGTATCTTCAACTTCACCATGATTTTCTCCACCATGTAATAACACTGTAAATGCCATTGTATGGCTAGTACCGTCCATTGAACTAGCCAAGTAAAATCCCTGTGCCTTCCCAATCACAGCAGAACCCAACTCATGTCCTTCTGTTAATTCGTTATCAACGACTGTGATCGAGCCAAACATGAGCTTTTGTAGTGCAGACCCAGCTGGGAGATTGCCCGCGGTGACAAAAGGCTGGTTGTCTCCATTGTCAACATTGTTGTTGTTGCCTGTGTTTTGTAGGAATGTGTTAGTTTGGGTACCAGTTAGGCCTGTAAGGAGTGGAGCGTTGTTTGGGTTTATAAGGTTGTTAAGGTTGTTAATGTTGACCAGTGGGGTCCCACCTTGGAGTGGGAAAAAGTTGTTGTTTGGCTGGGAGAAAGGAATGCCATTGATTTCAGTGCGGGCGATGATCCCGCTCACGATTCTATTTGATGGGTGGGATCCTCCTAGGATGTCATGCATGAAGAAGGACAATGAAGGAGAAGTGGTAGCGGTGGTGGTTTGTGAGCCAGCAGGTTTTGCTACGGTGGGACTCGTGGTCACTAATGGGGCTGGCCCACTTGGTGGCGTCGTGGTGGTGATGGGACCTGCAGGTAGTGGTGCTGCCACTCTGACTGGAGGAGCTTCAGGTGCTGTACCATCATCAACCGGTGTTACCGCATCATCAACTGGTGCTGCCACAGTAGTGTCAGGGACTACAGTTTCATCTGGAAGTGGAGGGTCTGCTTCGCCATCTTCAACTGTGGAGGGAGTGGTCGCTTGGAATTGGCCACTTGGCAATGTAGTCGTTGGAGCTGGGACTGCCGTTGTCACGGGAGGGCCAACAACAGCTGGATTTTCGGGTTCTACCCCATCAAGGATTCTTGCCGAGTTGGCATGAGAGAGAGTCATAGCAATCAAGAAAAAATAGACAATTGCCTTGAGTGATGTAGTGGTAACAAAGAGGAGTCTGGCCATTTTGGGTTTTGATTCTGTGAAAGAGCTAAGTATTGTTCAAGAGGATGTGAAGAATGATTCTGATGCTGAAGGAGGTGTCTATTGTGGTTATATATAGTTAAAGGAAACTCTAGTGAGAAGTGGAGCTGATATAGTGGAGTTGGAGCATACTTTCTATTAAGTTGAGTGTTCTGGTTGTGATACCAAATTCCTATTTCATATTTTGCTGTGGGCATGAAATGGTGCAGTTGACTACTCGTAAAACCAAATGTGGTATACATGCTGACTGCTTTTCGAAAGAAAGGCATGGATCATTTGGTTTAGGTGCCTTTCTACATTTAATATTTGGGAGCAGGTACTCTATTATGCAGGATAATTGGGCAGTTAGGTTGGGATTTCTCTCTGGCATTACTTGCTAAGTTGCTGCTTGGTGCAAATTATATTCACAATCTTAAGCCTGGCTAGGATCAGAAACTACCTGCATTAAGGTTTGGCTAAATAGGGATTCAATTTTGAAATAACATGAAAATAGCCAATGCTACATTTTCCAGTCCTAAACTGATAACGAGTTTCCGACATCTTCTTGATACCCTACTTTCTTAACTATAACCATTGGGTCCTGTACAACACTCGGTTATCTGGTGGTGGTAAAGAGGGCAATGAATGTCATGTCACAACAGGCAATTGATTGCCTTTTGCGGCATCTCAAGATTAGTCCCAGAGCATCTCTACTAACAAAATACTATATTAAAGAACCGAAAAAAAAAAGTTTTTTTAATAATATAAGTATAGGTTTTTTTTTATATTCATTTTAATAGTAAAAAGTTATTTAAAAAAATCTATTATATTTTAATATATTTTATATTAAATTAATTTTAATATAATTATATAACTAATTTAAATATATTTTATGTTTTAAAACTTTAGATATAGTTAAAAATCTGATAAGTATTTAGACAATAACAGTTTAAAATTAAATAGTAATAGTTAGAAAGTCAAACAGTAACAATGTAAAATCAAACATTAATAATTAGTAATTAAACAATAATAGTTCAAAGTTAAATAGTAATAATAGACTTTCACGTAAATATTATAAATAAAAATATAAAAAAATTGAGTACTACGAATACTTGGATATTAGAATACTATTTGTTTTATATGTTGAAGTGAGAAAATGAGTTGTTGGTCATAACTATAAAAATAACAGTTAACTAATAGTTATTTGTTTTTATTATTTATAAAAAAAATATAAAAATAGCTTTTTATATAACAAATAGCTAAAATAATTATTTATTTGCATAGTGTATTAGAGTGACACAATAAAACACAAAAACTAAAAATATAATTATTTTTAATATTTGACTCTTCATTTAACTCTCTCCTGGGAGATGCTATTAGAAGCAGCTTGTGAAAGGGATTTTGCTTTCTTAATGTTGGGCTTCGGGATTCCAACTCATTGACAGATTTAAGAGCAAACAGATAAAGCTGAAGCAGCAGTTAACATTCTCTATTTCTGGACCCAACTTATTATGATAATGATGAGATTACTTGAACTAGCCTCGAATTATCTATCAGTGTTTGTCTTGCCACACCGCAACTCGATTATAAAAAGGTGATGAACACTGTAACAATGGTAAAGAGCCCATTATATGGAAGTAACTGATAAAGCAATTGCGCTGCTGCTGATAAATAACTATGAGTTCATAACGTGACCACCACTGCAATTTCCATTTTCCATTGGTCTGGAAGCAAAAAATCCTTCTGTTTCCACAACAGTTAGGAACCCATTTGGGAAAACAAGATTGATCACCCCGTTTTATGGTTGTCTGGAACCATTGAAGATCTTTTCTTTAATAGGCGATGGTTTCCATAATTAACAGTTTTTTAAGGAACAACGAAAGAGTAAGTGGGGATCATGATTTCCTTGTAACATTATTTTGACTTATATCACTTCTGACAAAAAAATAAATCATATATGATAGTACAAATCTGTAAGAGTTTTACTAGCTTAGATAAACATTGAATAAAATATTTCCTTTTGTTCTGTTTTCTTCCCCTGCAGTACTCTTAGAACCAACACCAACCGCCTTGATCACAGCATAGCCATTGGCACTATGATACTTCCCAGTGCCACCAATGACTGCAATATGAGACTCAGGCACGTCTGTCTTGTGTACACCAAAAAATCTCAACTCATCGTTGTACTTATTCTTCACAAACTTTACTGTCATTGCCATCATGTGGCTAGTTCCATCTTCTGAGCTAGCAACGTATACCCCTTGTGCTTTTCCAACCACTAATGAACCATAAACAAATAAGTCCTCATCAATTTCTGTTACACTTCCAAATTCCAACTCTTGCAAGGTAGCTCTAGCCGGAAATGATAGGCCAATGTTAGAACCGTCAAGTGTTTGTGTTGACAACCCGGTACCGGAAACTGATGGGTTGGGTTGCTGTAAAGGGATGCCTCCACTCGGAGGAAAATAGCCTAGAGGTTTTGGAAATGGTATCTGGCTGGTAACTTTAGTTGTTGCAGGCTTTGGTAAGGGTTGTGTCACATTCAACACATTTTGCATTAGGAAAGTTATTTTCTTGTGGTGGTTGTGGTGGTGGTGTTGGCCAGGACTTGAACTGCCAAGGCTTCGAGCGAAGGATGATCGGTTGATGATATTCATGCAAAGGAGCAAGCAAACCAAGCTCAGCATGGAAGGAAGCTTACCCATTTTCATATTGTGAACTTGTGATTAAATTTAAATTCTGGTGACCAACATTGATCATTTATAAGCTAGAAGAAAAGGGAGAAATAGCAATGTTGAGAGAGAGGGAGGGAGGGAGGGAGAGGGAGGGAAGTGGATTAGGCTTCTTGTAGTTGGAGAAGGTATGTTATTTCTCTCTTTTTCTGAGAGTGACGTAGTTGGGTTAGTCATGTGGTGTATTTTTGTGGTAAAAGATTTTTCTCATAAAAAAATATTGATGATGAAAAAAAAAAATTTGGTCACGGATTCACATTTGTTGTCGTATTTACCATAATGTTTTCTTAAATAATAAAATGAATTAATAAAATATCAATCACAACATCCTTGAATATAATAATATTAATATTTCCCACAATATTATTTTCTTTTCATCTATTAAAAAAAACTTACAATAATTATTTATTTTTACACTTCTATTTTGTTTTTAGAAATTATAGTTTATATTTTTTGTGAGTGTAAAATAGACTAAATTATATTATTTATTTTTTTTACTCTAATTTTCTTTTCATCTATTAGAGAAAATCATCGTAATCATCTTATAATTTATTTACTTTTATACTTATATTCCGTGTTTTTAAAAATTATGGTGGTTTATATTATTGAAGAGTAAAAAATAAAATAAATTATATAATATCTCAGGATATAAATTGTTATGTGTATAAGAAAGTTTATGATGTGGACTTAAATTTATAAAAACACAATAAATAAATAAATATAAAAACAACTAAATTATATAATAATTAGAGTAATTTTACATTTCTGTCTTGATGAAACTTACTTATTAGCCATAGTGATTAAATATTGGTGGAAAGACAGGGAAGTTCGAATATATGATATGCCAAAGAATGAGGAGGAGAAAAATTGACTAGATAAAGGGAGAAAGAGAGTCAAGGTCATAAAAGACAGAAAGCATAAATAGTTAGAGTTTACCTGAAATTATTATCATCATCGTCACTAATATATATACTATATATACAAGGAATTAAGTAAAAAATAAAAAACTAAACTAGCACATTAGGCTGACTAGTCTAGCATTTTTTTATCAAATAAAATAAAAATAATAAAATTTAAATTCATAATTACTTAATCATTAAAGACTCTAATATAATATTAAAAAACCAATTCAATATAATAACTTAAATTATTAAATTTAAATAATTTTTTAACATGATCCATGATCAGCTCTACTTTAAATCGTTTAAGATAAAGGGCTCAAAAATTTTATAATAGTTTATGGATATTGAATTTGCACCATTTTTTTTACACATTTCCCCTCTGGCTTTTTGAAACTTTCCCATTATTCAATCATGCACCTAAAAAAATGATTTGTTTAGAATAATTGTATGAGATTATCTTTTAAAAGGATTATTTTGTGTTTTGCAATTCATTTTTAATATGATGATTTTGTTTAAATCAAATATTACATAGTAAAATAATATTGTACACTCGTGTAATAATACCTGGCAAAATAGTATCTTTACCTTTGCTCCCCGTAATTGCGAATCCTAGACCCGCCCCTGGCTCTCAACCATCATAATGAACATAGCTAGCCTAGCAAAACAATTTGCAGAAATCCTCTTTCTCTGTGTGAGCAGGAAGAATACCACATTAACTTTATCAGCCATTCTAGGCAAATTTTGTTTTGAAGAACAAACATTCATTGAAGAACGCCTTGTGTCTTCTGTGAATTTGATTAAATATGTAATTTCTATTCAATCTCAAGTAAAGTTCTTAACTTTATTTAAAAAAAAAAACAAAGAAAAGGAAAAGGAAAGAAAAGGAGGAACATTATTGGAATTTCTTTTGAATCTTAAGGGTTTTATGAAAGTTTGGTCTTGGAGCTCATTTGTTTTTGTGTTTTAAATGTGTTTTTAAAAAAATATGAATTTTTTATTTAAGTTTTTTATATTTTCAAATTATTTTAATGTGTTGGTATAAAAAATAAATTTTAAAAAGTAAAAAAATATTATTTCAATACTTTCAATCAAAAAATTTTCACTCTAAGAACTGGGCTTGGTCCTTGTTTAGTTTTAACCGAAGCCCGTTCTCTAGCCCAGTAAACTGTAAGAGTACTTCTTAATTTAACTATGGGCTTGTTCTTTGTAGTGGTAGTTTATGGGCCGAGTCTTTCAGTCCATTACCAATAAATCTCATTTGCTCAGTTCAATAATCATACGAGAACCGATTTTTCTCGGAAATCCAGAGTCACTCTCTAGCTAGCTCTCTTCTTTAAAACCCTAAAACCCCGATTCCCGCCATTTTCTCCCATTTCAAAACCTAACTTTACCATGTACCTCTACAGCCTCACCCTGCAACGAGCCACTGGAATCATCTCTGCCATAAACGGCAACTTCTCCGGCGGCAAAGCACAAGAAATCGTAGTCGCTCGCGGCAAAGTCCTCGATCTTCTCCGCCCTGACGAGAACGGTAAGCTCCAAACAGTTCTGTCTGTTGAAATTTTCGGTGCAATTCGCTCATTAGCTCAGTTTAGACTAACTGGTGCTCAAAAAGATTATATTGTTGTTGGTTCTGATTCGGGTAGGATTGTAATTTTAGAATATAACAAGGAGAGAAATGTCCTTGACAAAATTCATCAAGAAACTTTTGGAAAATCTGGTTGTCGCCGGATTGTTCCAGGTCAGTATTTGGCAGTTGATCCGAAGGGAAGAGCTGTTATGATTGGTGCTTGTGAGAAACAGAAGTTAGTTTATGTTTTGAATAGAGATACTGTTGCCAGGTTAACCATTTCTTCACCTTTAGAGGCGCATAAGTCGCATACTATATGTTACTCTGTATGTGGTGTTGATTGTGGGTTTGATAATCCTATTTTTGCTGCCATTGAGTTGGATTATTCGGAAGCAGATCAGGATTCGACAGGGCAATCTGCGAGTGAAGCACAGAAGAATTTGACATTTTACGAGCTTGATTTGGGGCTTAATCATGTCTCCAGGAAATGGTCTGAGCAGGTTGATAATGGCGCTAATATGCTTGTTACGGTACCTGGAGGTGGTGATGGTCCAAGTGGGGTTTTAGTTTGCGTGGAGAATTTTGTGATTTATAAGAATCAAGGGCATCCTGATGTGAGGGCTGTGATTCCTAGGCGTGCTGATTTGCCTGCTGAACGTGGAGTTTTGATAGTCTCTGCGGCTACACATAAGCAGAAATCAATGTTTTTCTTTTTGTTGCAGACGGAGTACGGTGACATTTTTAAGGTTACGTTGGATCATGAGAACGACAAGGTGAAGGAATTGAAGATTAAGTATTTTGATACGATCCCAGTCACGTCCTCGATATGTGTTTTGAAATCAGGGTTTTTGTTTGCTGCATCAGAGTTTGGGAATCATGCGTTGTATCAGTTTCAGGCCATTGGGGAGGAAGAGGATGTGGAGGCCTCATCTGCTACTTTGATGGAAACTGAGGAAGGCTTCCAGCCTGTGTTTTTCCAGCCACGAGGTTTAAAGAATCTTGTTAGGATTGACCAGGTTGAGAGCTTGATGCCTATTATGGACATGAAGGTTGCTAATCTTTTTGATGAAGAAACCCCACAGATATTTTCACTTTGTGGGCGTGGTCCTCGTTCATCATTGAGGATATTGAGGCCTGGTTTGGCCATTAGTGAGATGGCTGTATCACAGCTTCCTGGTGTACCAAGTGCAGTTTGGACTGTGAAAAAGAATGTTTATGACGAGTTTGATGCGTATATTGTTGTGTCTTTTAACAATGCAACTCTTGTGCTTTCAATTGGAGAAACAGTTGAGGAAGTTAGTGATAGCGGGTTTCTTGATACCACACCTTCACTTGCCGTTTCTTTAATTGGCGATGATTCTTTGATGCAAATTCACCCAAATGGCATAAGACATATCAGGGAAGATGGGCGTATTAATGAGTGGAGAACCCCTGCAAAGAGGACAATTGTGAAAGTTGGCTCCAATAGACTTCAAGTGGTTATTGCTTTAAGTGGAGGGGAGCTTATATATTTTGAGGTGGATATGACTGGTCAGCTGATGGAAGTGGAGAAGCATGAGATGTCAGGAGATGTGGCCTGTTTGGACATTGCCCCTGTTCCAGAAGGAAGACAGAGGTCTCGATTCCTAGCAGTTGGTTCATATGATAACACCATCCGTGTCTTGTCTTTGGATCCTGATGACTGTATGCAGATTCTGAGTGTGCAAAGTGTTTCAGCACCTCCAGAATCCCTCCTCTTTCTTGAGGTTCAGGCATCAATTGGTGGGGAAGATGGTGCTGATCACCCTGCCAGTCTTTTCCTTAATGCTGGTTTGCAGACTGGGGTTCTATTCAGGACAGTGGTGGACATGGTGACAGGCCAGCTCTCTGACTCTCGTTCCCGATTTTTGGGTTTGAGGGCCCCAAAACTTTTTTCCATTAATGTGAGAGGTCGACGTGCAATGTTGTGCTTATCTAGTCGACCCTGGCTTGGTTATATTCACCAAGGGCATTTTCTGTTAACGCCCCTTTCATATGAAACTCTTGAGTATGCTGCTTCATTCTCATCTGATCAGTGTGCAGAAGGTGTGGTTGCTGTCGCTGGGGATGCATTGAGGATTTTTACAATTGAGAGATTGGGAGAAACATTCAATGAAACTGCAATACCTCTAAGATACACTCCAAGAAAGTTTGTGCTTCAACCTAAACGGAAATTGTTGGTGATTATTGAGAGCGATCAAGGAGCATATACAGCAGAGGAGCGTGAAGCAGCGAAAAAGGAGTGTTTTGAAGCTTCTGGAATGGGGGAAAATGGAAGTGCCAGTGCTGAGCAAATGGAAAACGGCAATGATGATGATAAAGATGACCCCCTATCTGATGAGCAGTATGGTTATCCAAAGGCTGAGTCAGACAAGTGGGTTTCTTGCATTAGAGTCCTTGACCCAAGGTCTGCTGCTACTACTTGCTTGCTGGAGCTTCAAGACAATGAAGCTGCATTTAGCTTGTGCACTGTAAATTTCCATGACAAGGAGCACGGAACTCTCTTAGCTGTTGGTACAGCCAAGGGACTGCAGTTTTGGCCCAAAAGAAGCTTGGTTACTGGGTTCATTCACATTTATAAGTTTGTGGATGATGGCAAAAGCCTAGAACTTTTGCATAAGACTCAAGTAGAAGGTGTTCCACTTGCTTTATGCCAGTTTCAGGGAAGATTACTTGCAGGAATAGGATCAGTGCTGAGATTGTATGACTTGGGGAAAAAGAGGTTGCTTAGGAAGTGTGAGAATAAGCTGTTCCCCAACACCATTGTTTCTATCCACACCTACCGTGATCGGATTTATGCGGGTGACATTCAAGAAGTATGTTTTCTAAATACCTTTAATCTGAATATATATTCAGATATTTGTTTGTTTTTATATACATTTTCCCATCTTTATGTCATATTTTTCCTGGTGACATTATGAAGTATATTTTTGGTGTCTGCTTTGCAGTCATTTCATTTCTGCAAGTACAGGCGGGATGAAAATCAACTGTATATTTTTGCTGATGATAGTGTCCCCAGATGGCTTACATCATCATACCATGTAGATTTTGATACCATGGCTGGTGCAGACAAGTTTGGAAATATATACTTTGCAAGGCTGCCACAGGATGTCTCTGACGAGATAGAAGAAGATCCAACTGGTGGAAAAATAAGGTGGGAGCAGGGGAAGCTTAATGGAGCTCCAAACAAGGTAGAGGAGATAGTGCAGTTTCATATCGGTGACGTGGTTAACAGTTTGCAGAAGGCATCTCTAATTCCAGGTGGTGGCGAGTGCATCATATATGGGACAGTGATGGGAAGTGTTGGGGCCCTACTTCCATTCACCTCTAGAGATGATGTTGACTTCTTTTCACACTTGGAGATGCATTTGAGACAAGACCACCCACCTTTGTGTGGAAGAGATCATATGTCATATAGGTCTGCTTATTTTCCTGTTAAGGTAAGTCAATATAGATGGTCTCATTTGATTATGGTTTCTCAACACCAATTTAAAATGCTATTAAAGCCATTGGATGTAATTATTTGTCTTAGTAATTTATTTGTTTTTTTCTAAGTTATAGTGCTACCTGGTATTTTATAAAAGAATGCTAAAGCCTTTGGGATAATTTTGCAGGATGTGATTGATGGGGATCTATGCGAGCAGTTCCCAACTCTGCCCCTTGATGCTCAAAGAAAAATTGCTGATGAGCTGGACAGAACTCCTGGGGAGATACTCAAGAAACTTGAAGAAGTTCGAAACAAGATCATCTGAGGAAAGATTAACTTGAAGGTGCTTCTTTTCCCCTTTTAAATATTGTGATCATCTCATTTGTAGCTCAATATGAATGCACACAGTGGTTTTTGAAATTGCAGGACTGGGACAGACTCATTTTCATGAATGCATTATAATGTCCGTGCAAGTCTTTTTGGGATTCGGATTTGAAACTATATATGAACTTTTTATACAATCAAACACCCTATAATGTGAAAATGTGTGGCTATTGAGGTCGTCGCTCACCGAGTATAATAAATAGGTATATGAAATCAATTAAATATTTCACGGAGTATAATAAATAGGTATACGAAATCAATTAAATATTTTACAGGAGAAGATGGCGAGTCCTTGTTTTGTGTTAAATTTTTGATGAGCAAGTGTTGTTGATGAAGGCTCATTCTCCCTTTCATTTGTTCTATAGATATAATAATAGTTAAAGTATGCTCCAACTGTTATATATCTGGAATTTTCAAGTGAAAAAAAAAAAAGCTTCTGTGCTCTACTTAACTTGTGATATGGCCAATTTCTTTGCTTGAGTTTTTAAAACCTTTTGGTTCCCAAAAAGAAAAAAATCACTTCTTACAACTGCTTTAAATTGTTAAAAATGAAGAGTATTTTCAAAGTTTAGGTTATTTGGTAATTTTTATTATTTTATTGTTTTGACAGTGTCAAATTCCATATGCCATGTCAACCAATAAATTGAGAAGCCTGGATCGCATAGAAGATTGCTCGAGCAAACCTCAAAGAAGCGCTACAGAAGGGTTTGATTCCAACCTTCTGGGACCGTCAAGGAGAGGCAGGAAGATTTCAACGTCAAGTGTCAACCCTCCTATCCATGCAGTGCTTCTATCAAGACTTGTTGGCATGGGGCCTGTATAGTAATCTGAGTGTGATTTTCTTTAGCTCCCTGCAAATCCAAGCGATCAAGCTTCACTTTTTCAACAGGTAAATGGGAAATGGATTTGCTTGTCATGGTGCACCGCCTTCTATCCACCTAATGGTGTGCGGGTGGTCTTGGCATGCTGTGAAACCCTATTTACAGCTGAGGATTGATACTTGCAGTCATTGTCCGCCTGGTTGGCCTGCCATTGACTTTCCCGAAGTAACTTTGTGCCTAATAGTAGGCTCGTAGCTTGGGTGCATATGCAACTCTAGTAGGTTAGCACTCATTGGTTAAAAGGTTTTCGCGATGATCAGTCTGTGAAACTTTAAGTTAAAGAAGCCTTCTTGTTTTGGTTTCTTCCATTTTGTGAATTTGATGGTAGCTGTAATTACTCGATACATGCTATCTACAATTACATCAGAACTGAGCAACAAATTAGCTAGCGAACACATTCTTGAAATCAAGATAGAAGTTGCTCACTGTTAAATTAGAAAGCTTTCTGTAAAACAAACTTTTCGTACAGAGGATGTGCAGGCGTAATGAATGAATTTCCCGAAGCCATTTTATGTTATTAAATGCCCCTATGTATCTCACAGTTCTTACTTCTAAGCTCACTTTAGCCTTTACGTGGAACAGTTTATTGATAAATATTATCAAGTCATCATTTGGGATGTACTGTTTTTGTAATGGAAATTCCACCTCGCACTCATAGAATTGAAGAACTAAATCTTGCCCAGGGGAAGATCACCACCACTGAATTTCCTGCTCTTATTTAGACTTGGAAAAATCATCATGCCTGTGTTTTTGCTCCCTCTCCAGTCTTGTATTTCCACGATCAGCCCTGTTATCCAACCAGTCGATAATGTCTTTAAAAACAATGTCACTATTTTCTGCTGGTTCTCCATAAAGGAGACCGTGCCACATCTCAGGATACAACTTGATGGTCTTGTCTGAACTTGAAGCCACCCTGAGGAGTTGCTCGCTGACAGATTTATCTGTCACTCTATCTGCTTCACCATGCAGAACTATAAACGGCAATGACACTTCCTGAAGCCTCTGCTCAAGATCTAAGCTAGTCCTTAGAAGTTCATGCCCGGTCTTCAAGCGAGGTTTCCCTTTGTAGCAGTAAGGGTTTTCTCTGACCTGTAATTAAGTAATCATCAATTATTAATATATCATTTTAGCGGGGGGAAAAGTCATTACAAATTGGGAGGAAAATAAATATTTGGAGCTACAAGAAATATACCTGTTGTCTCACTTCAGGTACCTTAAAGGCAATATCCACGATATCTTTGGTTGGGATTATTTTCCAAGTTGGAATGATACTGCAAAGCTTTCTTAGAATAGTGATTACCAATTGAGGTGGCTTCATATCATCTGCAATCTGCAGATAAAATCGAGTTCAAGTAAATCCTCATGCCTTTTACTGAGCTTGAATGGGTACAATCAGCTAATAGAGGACCAGATCAATAAAATGACGAGAAATATTGCCTGCCTGACCAATTTCTGAGCAAGTTTATTTGACAATTACAGAGCTTTTCAGCTGTTTTTTTTTTTTTTTTGTGCTGCAACCATTGGATAGTGTTCAACTTAAAAAGGTTTTCGGAAACAGCTTGTCCTTACGACTGACTCAAACAAAGTGATTGAAAAGGTTAAACACTCTGTTGTTTTGTATTTTTATTTGAATAAAATTCTAGCCAGCATAAAAACATATTATACAAACAACTAGAAAGCAACAAGAACTAGATCCAATTTTGTAGGCAGACCATGGATATATAAGTAAAAAAAGAGCTACCAAACGTGTGAAACACTATAATAAAGGAGGGTAGGCATTTAAAAAAAAAAAAAAAAGCAACTTGAGAGAGAATAAAGGGAAAAAAACATAATAAACAAAGATATATACCTTACACATGGGTGCCACCAATACAGCACCATCCCAAAAATCTGGCTTCTTTCTGTGTATGAGCAAAGCGACTGCTCCTCCCATGGACTCTCCTAACAAATATCTCATCTTCTCCTTGTTCTCTTGCTTCTCTAAAATTAAACAAATAGAAGAAGAAATGATTGGCCATACAGGATGCTTGAAGACAGTTGATATATACAATCATAAAAAACACGTTACAAGAAGAAAAATAAAATCTTACCACATATACTTGTAAAATGACTAGAGCAGTCATTGATAACGTAATCCATGTTTTCCACGTAGCCTTGTAAACCGGCTGATTTTCCATGCCCTTCATAATCTAAACCATAAACTGCATAACCTGCCTTTGCAAGCCGAATCGCCGTGCCTGAAAATTATAGTGGAGACGCCCCTTAGGATTGAATTGCCAATTTTCCATAACGTTTTGATATTCATCAAGGCAAACTTCAAAGCCTTAACATGAAGATTTTTGTAGATACTCACTGTTCATGGTGATGCTGCATTCCATGCCATAACCATGGCAAATAAAGACCAAGGCTTTTGGTTCTTGATTCATGGGAATCCATTTGCATGCGAAAAGCTTCAATCCTCGAGAATTCAATACAAACTCCTATAAATATTTATAAAAGGAAAAACAGTTTAAAAACTGATAAAATCAAATACTATAAGATAATTAAAAAAAGAAAAGAAAGAGAGTAACAAATGAATATAGCCGCATGAACTCATCTAACCTCATCATACATGACATTTCCAATCTCTCGTGCCTGAAAATATTAAACCAAGAAGAAAAGAAGAAGAAAAAGGTAAATAATAAAACAACTATATATAAAAAAAGAGGAGCTAGAGGTAAAACTTTCTCAGAAACAAAAGAAACAAGAGATTAACAGATTTCCCAGATAGTACCATGACGTTGAAGGATCCCAGAAACCTGAAACTAGATAGGATGTATATGATTTAGAGAGAGAAAGCTGGTGCTGAAAAATCTCAGGGAATTGTTATTTTGTACGAATGAAAACTTTGGGTTTTGATGAGTATGTATAGATGTAGAGAAAAGGATTAAGATAGCGAAAAGGGAACACTAAGAGAATTCAGGGTAGATAAAGATAATTAAGAGATATATAGCAGGAAGACGGTTCTATAAAACCTCAGGTAAAGAAGGAAAGAATAAGAGACGAACAAGGATTCCAGAGCCAGAGAAGGGAACGGAAGTGGAGTGTTGAGTTGTATTCAGAATCTATTTGAACATATTCTGTTTCGTGGCCATATTTAAATAGTTTTAAACCTAATAACGACTTGCTTGTGTCTGGTTCCCTACAGGCATGCCATTACCCTTTCCCAGTTTTATAACCTTATTATTGCTAGATTCACTTGTAATTGAGATTTATCAGGCGGTAAAAAATACCTGAATTCATCTGTCAAAAAAGATTCTGGTAAAAAAACTGTGAAGGGTCATGTGCAAACCTAACGTGAGAGGTTGTTGGTTTTAAAGATGATAAATACAAGATGGGTACATAAGGGTTGTTAATAATTAAGGGAAGGTGACAGGGATGAGTAAATTTTCCCTTGATTTTTCTAGATTTAATAGTTGGATTTGATTCTTCTTTGCTGAGATCACGCGGAGCTGTAGCCCGGACGAGCAACTTGCCTTGGTGGACATTCTACTATTTAATTTTGTATTGCAAAATCAGGTCATATTCCTTTCTTAACTGCTTTTTGGTCAACGCTTTTCGCAATTTCCTTATTGGTTTCCGCCATGGGAGGCCGAGGCACTTCCGTTGCCGTTCTGAATGGGCAAGTAATTATTCCTTCAAGGAAAAAAATTAAAAAAAGAAAAGAAAAGGAGAAGGTAGTGGTGGCGGGGTAGTTGAAAGTTTTACTTTTATAAATCCGTCGCCTGTAATAAATAATGAATAGAAAATTATCTGTTAATTCTTTGTACTTCTTATGAGATATTCCGATCATTCATAAAATAGAAAATAGAAAATGGAAAGGAAAGGAAATTAATATATATTTTCCACCCCTTCTGTTAGTAATTAGCATGAAATTATTGGCCTAGTTAATATTTCTCATGTCTTTTAGTAATAATCAATAGAAAAAAAATGATGATTTACAACTAGTTTTGAATAATTAAATATAGACGATTTCCCCAACGTTTTCGAAACAAAATTAAAAAAAAAAAAATAATCGGTAATCTAGCATGCCTTAATCATGTAACATCAGGTTTTAAATTGCACTGGCAATCTTGCCGCCGTCGTGTGAAACCAGTTTCGAGAAGATCATGAATCTTTTCATCTTCACATTATACATGGCTCCTTCGAGAGGACTGGACGGCACCCTTGACATTTTTGTGGACCATCAATGCTCGAGCATCATTTTTTGTGTGATATGCATGATTTAATAACTCCATGGATGGCTTGTGAAGGTTTATCTGTCAGCTTTTGTTTTTGGGGCCTGCAACTGAGTAGCAATTGGAATTCAATTCTTTTCGACTGCAGCAGTGAGTGAAGTTTCCTGGCTCCTTGCCTCCTTAATTTCGGGCTCCTGTCGTTTTCAATGCGAGAATACGGCTCAAATCCACGCGGGAAAAGCAGAACAACGAAGCCCTTCGAGGATTATCTTCCTGGAAACTCTATCTCGTCTTCCAATTTTGTATTTAACGATAGGGATATTTTTGTAGTCTTCATGAACCGAGTCTTGAGTGGATAATATGCATACTTCCAAACTAGTACACGATTACACTTTGATGTTATTCGTGTATATTATATTTTCGTTGTCGCGTTCTTTCATGAGTTGTTGTCACTAGCACTATTAAAAATCAACACGTGTTTTGTTTTTTTAGCTTTAATTTCTGTTTCTGTACATTTAGCTTTATGAAGAAAATATTTAATTGAAAGTTTGTTAGTCATTGTATTTGTAGTATGTATAATTTAATCCCTAAATTAAATTCGTATATGTCAGGTTGAAAACTTCATTAGTAGAATGGTTAATTATGAATACAACATATTTTATTTCATGTGATATTATTAATGTGGGTTGTTAGAGTTTTTTCTTTTTAATTTTTTTAGATTTACTTACCCGATATTAGCCTTGAAACATGGATGCAAAAATTAAAAGGAAATGAAAAAAAAAATTCATAGTTGATACATGATATTACGATTATGAATTCTATGTTAAAATAAATCATATCTTAATAATTTTTATCTTTTTATATTAATTGATTATAGATGTGATTTTTTTATGATTGTGATTGATAATATCATGATTTTGATGAATGTTTATTTTCTATAATATTATATATTTATTTTGAGAGCTTTAACAAAGTTTATGATTTGATATACAATAACCTGATGGAAAGAATGTTAGGGCCAAGACTGTATACGTTGTGAAATATGATGACTAAAGAGCTCTCAATTAAAGACTTCATAAAAATAAAATACAAGGACTAAATTAGTTTTTCTAAACATCAGGGACCAAAATATACACCAAATGCAATTCATGCTATAGAAGCACGACACGTGTCAATTTTTAAAAGCTCTAATGAAGCCAGCCAATGGAAGGATGTGGTGACAACAAGAATGCAATATACATTGATGGTATTAAAATAAAAATAGTAGAAATTCTTTTAAATACAAAACAACGAATAGATGAATGTTGATAAACATCAAGCCCTAGCTAGACTGACTATTGTATTTTTTATTTTTTATTGCGGTCTCCATGGCTAGGATTATTTAGATTTTGAATAATAATAATATTAATAATAATAATAATAATAATAATACAAGGCACAGATCCACTTAAACTAAGTCTCATTGCTTCATCTTACAAGCATCGATATATAGCACTTGATTGTGATTGAAGCAACTCAATATTCGTTGAAAAAAAGGGCGATGGAATCATCTAATAATCAAAATCAAAGTAGAATTCATGTATTTTGTCATCTGCACGCGCCATTCAGAGCAGCCAACGAGCCAATATGGTCATCGATTGCCAATTTCATTGTGATTCACTGTTCAGGCTAACGTCACCTTCCATAATTCTTGATTTCTATATCCTTAGATCCAGATATCAAGATATGATCAATATGACGTGCCACGTCTCTCGGGTATAGATATAATGTAGTGTGTGCCAGAGAAAGTTCATATGCCGGATGGTGAATGGTCTTGAAATTTTAATATATATATATATATATGAACACTGGCCATCAAATAATTCAAATCTCCAAGTCAGCCATGCACTTAAATTTTAGGACAATATCAATTTTCATAACTCATTAAATTTATGATATTTTTTTTAAAAAATAATATAAAATTATTATTGAGACATTACAGGGTAGTTTAAATTTTTTAATTAAATAAATTTTTAAATATAATATCAAAACATTAATGATCATAAAATTATGAGTTGGAGTTTGATTGTAGCTCAAAGAAATTAAGCATTGTAATTGATAATTATTACAGGTTTAATTTTTATTATTTTTATTTTAACCTATAAGTCCTAGGAATTTTTAATTGAAGGGGTTTAAAATAAAAATATAAGTAATCTCGAGGACATAAAAAAGTTAAGAGATATGTCCTATTTTTATCAAAAGTATTTGAAAAACTTTTAAGCCCTTTTAAACGATTTTGAAAGTTTGTCATGCATATCAATATGCTGTATTTAGAACGATTTAGTAATTATTTGTTGAATTTAAGATTTACATTTTAAAAAAATGAGAGAATGAAAGAATTTTGTATAATCACTACTGGGACAATTCTTTAAATCACGCCTATTTATTTTTTTATCTTTAAAATTAATGATTCTGACTTCTAAAAATACCAAAAGAGATAAAACTACAAAAATAAAATAATGATATAAAAAATATTTTGAGACTTTATTAATAATATTATTGGATAAAATTTATATTATTTTATTGTATATTTTTTTAAATAAAAACTCTTTGGTCTTAAATTTTATACAAATCCTATAATCATTTTACTAATAAAATTTTAATACCATATTAATTTTTTTTTTTAAAGTAAAAAATTTAAGTTACCAGAAAATACATTTTATATTACTTTCTCAGGACATAAAAACTTAAACATAAGGATAGCTTATTGACAGGAAATTAAAATTTTCTCACACGTTTTTTTTTTTTATGTGACAATGGATACTTTGGTAAAAAATTAAGGTCCGACCTGATGTAATGATGACTGGTATAGTTATCAAAGTACAGGACCAGACATAACAAAATAAAGTTCTGCCTTATTCATCGTCGCTAAAGACTTTTGATAGCGATCACGACTCACGAGGCACGCAACTTGCTTTAATCAAATGACTCAATGCCACTTGCGAGTTCCAAACCATATAAAAAAAGGGGATCGTGACCTAGCATTTTATTTTTAAATAAATGAGATCCCCTTTACTTTTATATTTTAAAAGTATTTTTTAAAAATTAGATTTTTTTATTTTTATTTTTATTTTTTTTATTTTCAAATTATTTTGGTGTGTCGAGGTTAAAATTAATTTTTTTAAAATAAAAAAGTGTTTGATTGTAGCTGAAAGAAATTAAGCACTGTAATTGATAATTATTACAGGTTCGATTTTTATTATTTTTATTTTAACTTATAAGTTCAATGAATTTTTAATTGAAGGGGTTTGAACTAAAAATATAAGTAATCTCGAGTACATAAAAAAGTTGAAAGATATGTCCTATTTTTATCAAAAGTATTTGAAAAACTTTTAAGCCCTTTTAAACGACTTTGAAAGTTTGTCATGCATATCAATATGTTGTGTTTAGAACGATTCAGTGATTATTTTTGAATTTAACATTTTTTTTTTAAATGAGGGAATGAAAGAATTCTGTATAATCACTAATGGGACAATTCTTTAAATCACACCTATTTATTTTTTATCTTTAAAATTAATGATTCTGACTTCTAAAAACACCAAAAGAGATAAAACTACAAAAATAAAATAATAATATAAATAACATTTTAAGACTTTACTAATAATATTATTGGATAGGACTTATATTATTTATTGCATATTTTTTAAAATAAAAACTCTTTGGTCTTAAATTTTATACAAATTCTATAATCGTTTGACTAATAAAATTTTAATATTATATTAAATATTTTTTTTAAATTTAAAAATTGAAGTTACTAGAAAATACATTTTATATTACTTTCTCAGGACATAAAAACTTAAACATAAGAATAGCTTATGCCTTATTGACAGGAAATTAAAATTTTCTCACTCGTTTTTTATTTTATTTTATGTGACAATTGATACTCTGGTAAAAAATTTAGGTCCGACTTGATGTAATGATGACTGGTATAGTTATCAAAGTACAGGACCAGACATAACAAAATAAAATTCTGCCTTATTCATCGTCGTTAAAGACTTTTGATAGTGATCACGACTCACGAGGCACGCAACTTGCGGTAGTCAAATGACTCAATGCCACTTGCGAGTTCCTAACCAAATAAAAAACGGGGATGGTGACCTAGCATTTTATTTTTAAATAAATGAGATCCCCTTTACTCTTATATTTTAAAAGTATCTTTTAAAAAATTAGATTTTTTTATTTTTATTTTTATTTTTTTTATTTTCAAATTATTTTGGTGTGTCGAGGTTAAAATTAATTTTTTTAAAATAAAAAATATTATTTTAACATAAAAAAATCATTTAAGAAAGTAATAGTATTCTAAGCACCCCTAAAATAATTCACATTATTGTATTGTATTGAAGCACTTAAATATTTATTTTTTCTCAGTAAGCTGGGCATTGGCTCGGTTTCCTCTGTCGCTTCAAAGTTCCACGCGTTTTGCTTAGTGCTTGCACAACTTTGACAGTCCTCGTAAATTTTGTTTAGGTGGTGGGATAAAAAAAAAAAAAATCTCATTCTCGAAGGTTCTAGATTTTTGATAATGATGCCAGATAAACACAAGGGGGCGGTGATAATTTTTTTCCTAGATGATTTTTTATAGTCAATTAACCCCGCTGCCAGAAATAATTGTCTAGGCCTGAACATAAATGAAACTGGATCCTTCAATCATTACTGGGCTGGCCCGTGAAAGAGCCCTATTTCACCAGATCTTACATAAAGGCCCGCTGAGAAATTTTTACCTGAACTATACAGCAAACTTTTTGTTGGAAAAATCTCTATTAAAAATGTCGTGGAGGAACTGAAGCGAGCATTGGTTATTGGATCGCAGCCAGATCATTATTTACCTGGGCCTACAAATACATCGCTCAACTGAAAGTAAATTAAATTTCAGCCCAACATCAACATTATTTTAATTTAGGCCCATATTAATGGAATAACCGGTGGCCCAAATCCAAAGAGATACTTTCCCAAGCTATTGGGAAAACCCAGGCCCAAATAGTATCGAGCGTAGCCCATTTCTAGCTCCCGCTATAAAACACTCCAAAACCCTGCCACCTATCTAGGGTTTGCACAACACAGGAGAGCCGCGCAGCCGTTGCAAGAGAGTGAGAGAGAGAGAGAGAGAGCCAGACAGAAGCGAAGCAATGGGTAACAAATTGAAATAGCACAGAATCAATTGATTTTTCTTAGAGTTTTATTGTTGTGTATTTCTATTTCTGATTTGTGGTTTTTGTGAATGATTTCAATCAGCAAGAATCAAGGTCCATGAGTTGAGACAGAAATCAAAGACGGATCTTTTGTCTCAGTTGAAGGATCTCAAAGCTGAGCTTGCTCTCCTTCGAGTTGCTAAGGTCACCGGTGGTGCTCCTAACAAGCTCTCCAAGATGTAAACACTCACTATCCCTCCTATTTTGCTATTTAGTGTTTTCTTATTCACTAAAACTGATTGATTGACCTGATTTAGTTATTAAGTTTGATGGGCTCTTTCTTAGGTGTTTATTTATGGTTTTACGTGGCGTTTCGTTGGCCCCTTTTTTGTTTAGAGTGTATGAAACTGGTTTTGCTTTTAGTGTTTTCTTATAATCTCGACTTTTATGCTATACTATTGTGCTTTTTTAAAATTTATCTAGGCAGTATTTGCTGTCATTTTGGGCTGCTTTCTGTTAAAATAAATAAGTAGATAAATAAAATCGTTTGTTTTGTGAACCATTGAAGTGATTTCAAGTATCTACCCTGCATGTTTTGGGGAGATGGATTTACTATTGAAATTAATATATATAGCCTTGATTTTAAAATATCTGTTTTGTTTACGTGGCACTTCCTTTTGGTTTATATAGCAGCTTGATATTAAGGGCTACTAAGCTAAAAGGCAACGTGTTAATTAGTTTATATTCTTTTTTGATTTTGTTAAGAAATTTATACAGTATTTAATCATCTTTTTGGAACAGGAAACTCTATAAGTTTCATTCTCTTTGGAGTGATAAATGTGCTTTCAATTTTGGAACTGAACAATGCCTAGGTCTTATATAGTGAATGCACAATATCTTGTTGTTTTTTTATCTACTCTTTGTTGGTTTCACTCATTGAATTGTTTTGTTAATTGTTTTTTGTGGTTATGTTTTTATTTATATATTTTCTTGTGTTTGTGTTGTGTCTTGATGCTGGATGCAGCAAGGTTGTGAGGTTGTCGATTGCACAGGTTTTGACTGTGATTTCGCAGAAGCAGAAGGCTGTATTGAGGGAGGCTTACAAGAACAAGAAGTTTTTGCCTCTTGATCTGCGTCCCAAGAAGACCAGGGCTATCCGCCGGAGGCTTACGAAGCATCAAGTAATACTTTTTTTCTGATCTCTTCTCTATTATCTTGTGTTGGGTGCTGGGCTGGTTTTTTTTGGCATGCTAGCTCTTGCTGTTGAACTATTTGTTTATGCCTGAAATATCAAAGCCTTGACAAGGTGTTGTGTTATAGATGCGTTCTTACAAGGTTATCCAGCCAAGTAGGTGACCTCTGGTGTGTTGATTAGGAACTCAAGTTTAAAATCTTGATTGATTTACATACTATATGGTGTGACTCTTTAAAGCATATGATTTCTTGTACAAATCTCGTTTTTTGAGGGTGAAGGAAGCAGAACAGGGAGTGATCTTGTTCCTCTTGGAGGAACCATTTTGCAATTGGTGGTATTTTATCTTGGGCTGGAATTGTAGGCAGTTTAGCTGTGTGGTATCGGTGCTTCATGTTAGCATGTGATGATCATTTGTCTTTTTGATTCATAGAAAATGGATCTGTAATATATTGTCCTCACTGGGAAGTTTGCAAATGATGCACTTCCTATCCAGTTAATTTACAGTGTAGTAATGATGCTCCAATTTTCAGTGCAATGTGATTTTTGTCAGGACTCCATTGCTGGTGCATAGTTTTTCTTTTTATTAATATTTTTGCTTTTAGTGGGATTGATTGTGTGTGATCATGCAAAGCATTATGTTTTGTCAAATATGTTGGGATGTGAAAAGTTTTTCATCTCTAAAAGATCTGGACTTCAATAATTGCGGAAAAAAACATAATCATGTTTATAATTAGAATGAAGTTTATGGAATCTGTTAGTGGTCATCGTCTCCTACTTTTATGTTCATGTATTTTTGCTGTCTGTCTAAACATTTTGATATGCTTGTCTATGCAGCAATCACTGAAGACCGAGCGCGAAAAGAAGAGAGAAATGTACTTCCCAATGAGAAAGTATGCTATTAAGGTCTAGGGTGGCATCAATCACATATGCTATTTTGATATCTTTCCTGAACCTGTTTTGTTGACAAGTTTTGACTTTGATCGTCTGTGTCTTGTTTGTGAACTAGTTTTTTTATATCAATTTATGTTTAAAAACTTTGGGAAAGGGTGTATCTCACTCTAACCAAGATGCTAGATTTATATTGGAATAGTAGCTGAAGAGTATTTTTGTTCATGTTTCTTGAAGCCTTGCTGTGCAGTCGTGCATTTCGAGATTGTTAATCGTTGCTGTTCTTATTTAGGATGTGGTCCTGCACTTTTTTCTTCCTACCATTTATGCTTGCGAAATTGCAGAGCAATTGTTCTAGTTCCTTGGTCGGAAGTCGGGATGGTGGGATTCTTGGTCTGGTTGCTGACTTAGAGCCCTTTTGGCTCTGCGGCTGCGGCTGTGTTTTATTTAAAACGCAATTGTAGCTATTTGGTTAAAGAAAAAGGAGGCATGCTGTTTATTGGGTTTGTGAAAAGCAAGAATTTCTTATTTTTTTACTGTTTAATAAATAGTATTGAACAGTGCAATTAAACAGTGTAGTGGTGCACTATTCATTGTGTGGATTTTTTTAGTCTTAATTTTTTTAATATTGTTTTATTAAAAAAATAGTTTAGAATGAATTTTAATATAATAAATGCTAAAAAATTATGGAAACAAGTTATTGTGAAGTTATTTAGGATGTATATAATAGTAATAGTGAAATTTATAATATTTAAATTAAAATTATTAATATTAATATATATATATTAAAATTAATTTATAATTTTAATTTCAAAAGTATTTTTAACTAAATATATTAATTTTTTTTAATTTTAATTTTAATTATAGTTTTAACTAAATATTTATTTTTTTAAACTATCTTAATTTTAAACTATTTTAATTAAAAATAATTTTTGTAAAATAATTTTTTTTAAACTATAATCACAATAACTGCTGTGATACTAAATATGTTTTTACTGTGCTCAATTTGGGTTCGCTGTCACCGGACCAAGTTTTGATCAATAGTGAATTGGCATTTTTTTAAAAAAAAGAATAGTACTCGATTAAATATATTTTTAAATATTTTTAAGCGAAAACAAGTTGAACGGCAGGTAAAGTCCGTTCTCTGGTTTTTTGATGCTTGAACGTAACCAAAATCTGGATCATCTAATTAGATGACGTGTGTTATGTGCTCCGAATGAGCAATGTGAAAAGGATTGTGTCATCCACGTGTGGGTTTAGCCTTCCAGGTCCTACTTATTAAAAAAAAAAGGTTGTTAAAACAAAAAAGAAAAACATGTACAAGGATAGGGAGTTTTGATTATAAAGTTGCAATTTTTTCTTAATTAAAATCATCCCGGGTATTTTACGAATATTGTCTTAATTACCTTTAGTTTTACTTGAAAAAAAATATTTTGCTAATAAAGAAAACGTATTTTGTTAAAAAAAAAACATGAATAAGAAAAACAGATTTTAGTTACAGCAGTTATTTTTTTATCTAAATCTAAATCATTATCCTTTTTATATTTTTTTCTAACTGTCACAAAATTAAATAAAAATAAGTTTTAAGAAATACCCAATGTGCTAATTGAAACGAAAGTCATGTCGTTAATTTGTCAGACGGAGAGGAACGGAATACGGGATCCATGGATATTAAAATGACAAAACTATCCTTTACTGCTATTTTTATTAGAGTCAAGAGAGGGTGCGAATAACTCATTCGCCATATGCTAGTAATGCCCAAAATCAGCTATTTTGTAATTTCGCAGTAGCATCCTCTGTTATTTCCAGCCCATTTCCTTATCCAGAATATTCAAATAATTTTGTAATCTCCCCTCACCCATTTACGCGTCTATTTAATCCTATCCACATTGTGAGATCGAAAGCTTTGTGGGAGGTTAAATTGTCATTGTCACACACACACACACACACACACACTATTCCAATCAAACTTGTAATTTCTCGTCCCCTTCCGTGAAACTAAGTGCAAAAAATCTACTTGGTGGCTCGAAGAATACAGTCTAGTATTTAAGTGTGGTCTAATCTCCTCTAAATTCCATGCAGTCGTCTTCCTCTCGACGATTTCCATCTAACCCCGGTGCGATAGTTCATGCACCTGGTCTGCTGTAAAGACCACTCCATTTAATTTTTCTTCGTATGCCGACTAATCAACTCTAGTAGAAAGTGGAAGGCAACGGTAGTGGTGTAAAACTCGGTGGCAAGGTCGTCACCTAGAATAAAAAAGAAACGTTGTAGCAGAAGCTTCTATACGCTATGGACATGGAATTAGGGAGAGCGGGAGAAGCTTCTGCTACCAGACTTCACTGCAGGGATTCCAGGCCCGTCACATACCAAACTACTAGAGCTGTCGCTCGCACTGAGTAAACAAGTCGCCCATGATACATTAATTAGAAGAAGACCGTCATACTCTTACTTTATTAGCTCTGTTAATAAATCAATTAGCAATTCATAAATACCATGTTTTCTACACGAAATGGGCCGATCTTATAAATTAATATAATACATACAAGAAAAAAAAATTGTTATTATTATAACTTTAAAATTCAATTTATAATCAAGATAAAATCTAGATTGTAGGGTGGGAGGATCGATATAAATTGAACCGAATCAATATAATAATAAAAATAATTACTATTATAGTTTAAAAATAAAAGTAATTGTTATCATAGTTTAAAAATTTAACTTAAAAGTCAACCAGGAATAAAACTCAAGTCATGGGTTGAAAGGGTCAACCTAACTTAAAAGTTAATGCATAAAATAAAAAGAATTATTATCATAATTTTAAAACCTAATTTAATAATTGAAAGGGATCAAGACTCAAGTTAGGGTCGGGAGGGTCAACTCGAATTAATATATGAATAAAAATAATTAAATTATATTTTTAAAACTCAACTTGAAAATTAACCAATAATAAGGCTCGAGACACAGATCAAGAGGGTTAATCTAAGTTGATCTATTTTAAAAAAATAATAATTAAAACAACCTCAATTTAACCCTTGTTTAAAATCTAGTTTTTTATTCGGTTAGATCAAAGCAACCATTCCTCTATTTTTTTAAAATCAAATTGGTTCATGCTCTGAGTCAACCCACTAGTCCAATTCAAGTTTTATAATAAAGATTGTTATAATATTATTAATTTCAACACTTAATATAAATAAAAGAAAAAAAAAACATTAAATTAGTTTTTAAAATACATAAGTTTGACAATAATATATATTAAAGATAAAATAAATCTTGTTATATTTTATTATATTTTGTTCATAATAATCAAATAGAATACAAAAAAATCATTATGATCTTATATATTACTACTAAACACATTTTTTTTTCTTTTTTTTTTGGTTCCAATTATCTTTGTCTCTTATATTCTGAAATTATAACTAAACACTGCCTTGAGGCAACAAAAATTAAGCACCTAATATTCTAGTTCCTGGTATATAGATTCATAACTACAAATTTCTGAAATTCATAAACCGTGCTGGAAATTGAGGGTGTCAAATTGAATCACATTCAAAGTTATGATTATGAGATTGGCTAAATAAAAATTTATAAGATGGATATATTAATTGAGACAAACGCTAGAACCAAAACAAATGATTTTGCTTTATCATAAATCAGTTTCTTTGGCATTTTACATTTTTTTTCAACCACTTTTTCCTATTTTAATCTGAATTCATTTGTCAGATTTGTTTGCTAATGCAATAAGTGCCCCAGTTTTCTCCTAGTGACCTTGGTTCCGTGCAAGAGTAACAGCTTCTGGGTATTTTTTAAAAATATATTTTAAAAAAAAACTTTTAAATTGATGTGTTTTATAACTATTTTTATGATTTTAATATGTTGATATTAAAAATAAAAATAATAATTAGACAAGGTGGTCTTTCTCATTATTTTGATGGTTGTTTACCCTTTTCTGACTGAAATAGCACTACTGAGGATCTTGCCCCTAATCTTAGATAGGTCCTACGAGGGTTTGCTGCAGTTTATTGCTATGCCTGGGTTAGGTCAAATAGAGCTTTATTAGAATTTAAAATGATAGTTAATTTTTAAGTGAAAAGTGTTTTTAAAAGAATTTTTTTTTAAATAGGTATAATAAATTAAAATTCTCGGTAAAATAACATCATTTAAAAAAATTTATGAAATATTGCACTTTCCTCATGTCACTCTTTTGAATAACAGCATTTGAACATGTCACGTTTTAAAAGCACGACAACTTAACATGTAGCTTTAATAACAATTATTTAATTAAACCGGTCGGTTAGTTGATCTAATTGTATGAATCAGTTGACCGTTTCACATAAAAACTATAGTTTTATAAATTTTTTCTTTCAAATTTGTTTTATAAGAGTCAATAATATAGTTAGACTTGCGATAACGAATGATTTTAAGTGGTCATGTGTGAGTTTGTTACAATTAGATGAGGATCTCTCTTAGATAGATTACATGAATAGTCTGGCATATACATTTATGGACTAGTATAATAGGTCTAGACTCAAGAAAAGGTTTAGTCAAAACAAACCAAAATAATAGCTTAAAAGAACTATAATTTTTTATCTGATTATTGGATTATGTTTAAATTTTTACAAGAATTTTTAAAAATTATTTTCTTTTATATCTTTAAATTTAAAAAATATTAGCTCGAGGTCTAATTTTAACAATTTTATGATTTTTTTTATTTTTTCAAACCAGTCAACCAATCTAAATAATCATTACAAAATAGTCAAGTAGTTAATCCTGAATTTAACCGATGATGTTATGGTTGTGAATAAAGATATTAATTAAAATTTTATCATAATTCAAAACCTTTATATTTAATTGTTGTCATAATTTAAAAAATTTAATTAAACATCATGGTTTAAAATTATAATATTTAAAAATATGTTATTTCACTAAAGTTTGTTGCTGCTATATTAATTCATTTTTTTTTTTGTATGTTAATCGACTAATTTATCATTTTAATCTAAACACTTACTTTATGATAGTGCGCTTGAAATTCCCGCCGACGCAAAATGTTACACATGAAGATCACAAGATTAGGTAACAAATCAATTGAAAATCCCCTCGCTGCTTGGCCTTAGTACCTTGACTTCTTCAACTCAAGCCAAATCAAGATTTTCCCCACTTAAAACAGGCGTAGATCCTTGAGCCATACGTCGTTCATTGCCCAGGTGATATCATTTGAACAGTCC